TAAATTGTCCCATGTTTCTAGGTCAGGCAGCCAAAACAGCCTCCACAGCCCTAGGGAAGAGGGAGCAGAGCCCCCTGGTCTTGTCTGAGTCACTGGAAAGTGCCTGAAGGATGGAAATCCCTGCCCCAAACCTCAACTTACACCTGCAATATTGAGGTAGCAACAAGCCCAGATCCATCCATGGCCCAGCAGGACCTCCACATCCCTGGAAAGACGGGCAACTCCTGGGATGCCTCAGTGCTGCCCAGCTGCCCCCCGCCTCCCCAGAAAGGCAGCATGGCCCAGAGCAGCCCCAGCAGAGCCCACAGTCATTCTCTTCCTCAGAATTAGCCCTTTTTTCTGCACTTTTATCAAGGCAGGGAAAAGGCAGCAGGTGGCCCAGGCTGACAGCAAGGAGCCAAAGCCTGTCCTGTCAAAGGGTTTTTAAAGGACAAGGACAGACATAGAGACCTGGGAGGGGAGTACACATGGACCCACAAACACAGCAAGATAAGGTGAGCGGGGTTGAACACCCTGAGGAGGCTGAGTCTGCTGGGCCTGGCAGTTCCCAGCACTGCCTCCTCCACCTCCCTGTGTGATGCTGTTTGCTTGTGCCTTATCTCCCGTGTCTGCCGCGGTGACACTGTCCCCGGAGCTGGACACACCGGCCCCTTTCCAAACACAACACCTGCTACCGGCCGGCTTTGAAAAGCCTATTCACCCCTTTCACCACCACTGCCCATGTGGGGCTCTTCCTTCCCGGGGAGAGAGGCAAAAAAACACCCAACCCAAACCACCACGAGCTGGGACAACGGGGATATAGGTGGGAAAACCCACCAAATAAACACCAGGCTGCTGGAGCAGCCCCCCCCATCCCTGCACCACAGAGCTGCAACCCCGCTGCCATCCATCCCCTCAGCTGCCAGGGCCTTTGAAGCCTCTTTTCTCTCCCTCCCACCCACCCACCCTCCACGGGCTGGTTCCAAAGCAGGTTCCGGCAGGCTGTGGGGTCCCGGCTGGGGGTGGCTGCCAGCTGGGCGCCCCTGGGGACGGC